AGGTAGTCAAGGGAATACACTGTTTTCTTTAACCATGCTTTTGCATTCCAGTGCCTTGCGTCGTTTCCCGTTTTTCAAAAGGGTTCGAAAAGAGGCGCCCCCGTCAACCACCTCCGTTGGCCTCTTAATGTTGGGGATAGAGGAAACCCTAAAAACAAAATGAGGGTCAGACCGGGTCTTCCCTAAGTAGTATTCCAGTAAGTATTGGTGAGTGTTGGCTCAGTATTCTTGCTGACTGGCTTCGTACTGCTTAGAATTGGTTTAGTATTGGTTTAGTATTCTTGCTGACTGGCTTAGTACTGCTTAGAATTGGTTCAGTATTGGTTGAGTATTCTTGCTGACTGGCTTAGCACTGCTTAGAATTGGTTTAGTATTGGCTTAGTATTCTGGTTGACTAGCTTAGTACTGCTTAGAATTGGTTTCGTCTTGGTTTCGTATTCTTGCTGACTGGCTTAGCACTGCTTAGAATTGGTTGTACTGCTTAGAATTGGTTTAGTACTGGCTTAGTATTCTGGTTGACTGGCTTTGTACTGTTCAGAATTGGTTGAGTTTTGGTTTAGTATTCCCTGGCCCCAGTTCTAAAAAACGTTTCTCAATTAACTCCCCTTAAGCAAATCTCATTATTGGCTTCCTGGGTGTTCCCTGTACTACCGTGCAACTTTTAGTAAGGGCTGTCATAAAGAATTTGGCTGTTGGGAGGCCTCAGTTAAACTTCCTTTTCTGGGGAGACTCAGTGGTTCTTTGGGAAAGGAAACCTTTTCTGGAGAGACTCAGTAGTTCTTTGGAAAGGGAAGCCCTTTTCCCTGCAGGCATCCCTGGCCCCAGTCCTAAAAAACTTTTCTCAATTAACCCCCCTTAAACAAATCTCATTATTGGCTTCCTGGGTGTTCCCTGTACCACCCCCTTGAAAATTTGGCAGGGTGCAACTTTTAGTAAGGGCTGTCATAATTGGCTGTCGGGGACCTCAGTTAAACTTCCTTTTCAGGGATTTCAATCATCATCTCCTTGTTGTTGGTGGTGGTGGTGGTAGGTTGGGGGGGGCGGGCGGGGCAGAGAGAGAGAGAGAGGAGTTGCACTGAACTAGGGATTAATTATCAAACTTTTTTTGGGGAACATTTTTCCGGATTTTTTGCCCCTCACAAAAACTTTTGTGTATTACCTCCCCCTTTTGCTTTTCAGGGGTGTGAATATTTTTGCATTTTTTTGTATTGACTCCACATTTATTATTCGCAACCTAACATTACCCTAAAAGAGGTGGATTGGCATCACTTAGTTGGTGTGTTCTGCTGTCAACCCAAAGGACATCTCCTTCGCATGAATGAGGGTTCGCCCCTTCAAGGTTGAGCTTACGCAGATGGGTTCCACTTTGGTTCTAATCATCATGCCATGCTTAGGGAGCCTTTTTGATGCTGCTGATAGGCGAGCCAAGAGTCTTTCAACTTTTAGGGGTCACCTAGGTTGAAAGGCTCGGGAGGCCATGTGTGAGACAAAGTGTCAATGCCCCAAGCTTCACACCTGATTTTTTTGGGGGGGGGGGAAAGAAGCTCAGCATTATCGCCTTTGACGCCTTTTCGGCTTGGGCAACAAAATTTGCACTATCAACCCCTTTGCGCGTCACGATTCACAACGCGACCCAAACGCAACCCCGCAGCCGGTATTGAGCCACATTTTAGTTGTTTGTGTAGAGACACGCGTGTTGCTGAATTTCTTCCCTCGCGCTTTACCTGTTGATTCCCTTTTCGCCACGAACCCACCAGCGCCTCATATTCAGAAGCTCCTCTCAATGGGTCCGGGGACAAGCGGGTAAGCTTGGGACACTTTCCAGTGTTCCCCCACGCAACGTCAATACGAACATGCACGGCTGAGCTGCTTCAGGTGCCAAGCAACCCAGCCCAATCGACCCTCTATAGGGCTCTTGATTTGTCCACCAAAGCATGCGAGAACGGAACGGGCTGCAGAAAACAGCCGCCCCTCTGCAGAGTTGGTTGGCAGTTGGCAGAGTTTGTCCAGGCTTCCAGTTTTAACATGAACACTGACATGATCGTTCATATTCAAGGCTCCTTCCTTTGCTTCACGTCCGCCAAAGCGGATTCCCATCGGCCAAGCACTGCGCAGGGTTCTTGCCGTGGAGAGTGACGCATGTCTACAGGGTTGGGTATTGTCAATTTACCATCTTCGTAGAATTAATGCTGGGGACATAGGGCTAACGTGAGCCAGGTTTCAGGACCCGGCCCAATACTGATTGAGCCACGACCCAGTTGCTGAGTTGCATCCTCTCCAATATTCTGCAGTCGGGAAGACGCATCTGCAAACGAGGGCCCTTTTTCTACCGGATCATGGGAAAACTTGGCCATGTATGGTCTTTTGCCGCGTGCAATGATTTCCGCGCTTGCCATGTTGGCTTGCAAGCGGAGCTCCTGGAAGGAAACACCATCACTGGCCAACTTGCAGCGCCACATTTGTAGCCATCCAAAGGCCACCAGCCACACCCACCAGCCAGCTGGATCTGTTGGCTTTTACGGGCCTGGAGGTCATGCCATGGGCGCGCAGAGCACGAAGTGCCATCACTGCGCCTGCCAAGGGAGCCAGGAGGACGAGGAGGCCAATGCGCTACCTGGCGCCTGGGCTGTGGTGTGGCCGCCGTTACGATGATTGGGGCGGCAAGGCCTACAAAAATCCACCCAGCCCTGTCTGCCACGCCACAAGGTTTTGTAGGGAAACTTGCTTTGCCACTCCACAAAGTTTTGTAGGCGGCTGGCGCCCGAAACCTACTGCCAGCGAGGGGGGCGCGCCTGGTTTCTTTTGAAAACCCAGGCAAGCGGGGGTCCCAACTTTTAAGAAACACCTTGATCGCTCGAGAAGAATCCTAACCACCCCCAGAAGAACGCAGCCCCTGCAAGGTGTGTGTCTCGGCCAATTGCAGGGATTTCTTTTTGGATGCCTGCGGTTTTGATGCATGTGGTGCACATTGCTTGCTTTGGGCCTTCACCATTTCCTCTGCTTACAACAAAGCGTTGTGGATGTCGGAGATTTGATGCCATCCCTTTGGCTCAAGCCCTGTCTCACATGTTACTAGCGCCGAGATAGGAGAAAAGGATATGGCTGCGCGCTTCAACAGATAGGATTCACAGTATATACAACCAGGACATCCAGAGTAGGATTCATCAATTCCATTGCTTTGACAACCCTGCAGTTCGAGAAATAGGTTTAAGGGACCAAAGTGTACCGTCTGTTGCCTGGGGGCTTGCCCCCCTGCATCGGTCCACAATTGTGCTAGCGGAGCAGGTGTTACTCGGAAAAGGGAGATGTCGTCAGACAGAGAGCTTTTCCCAAAGCCTTTGCTGCAACAGGAAGTGCATGGGGTATGTCGAGGAAACGATTTATCCATCAATGAAGCCCTTCTCTACCGCGAAGAGTTGGACAACGATCAGCTCAAAGACCCTGCAAAAGGAGACAACTACTGCAAGAGCTCAAAAGCAGTACTTTCTTGAGGGAGCTACGAATGTGTATCTCGACCGATTTTTAGGTTTCTACCATCACCGGAGAAGAAACAACGGTTTCCTCGCATTCGTTCCCTTCTTGCGACAGTGCTTCGAAGACTCCAGGCAGCAGAGAATGCCACAAAACTATGATTCAACGACACCGGGACGCATTTCCATTCAGTGACCACCCTACAGACCAACAAGAGAAAGATGGGCCAGGTGTTGCTAAGAAACATTTTGTTGAAGAACTATGGGTACATATTGAGATTCCGGCCAACAAGATGGTGCAGCGTATGCGGAGAATATAGTTTGCCTGCGACATGCCAATTTCATGGCACATGCACGTAACGGCCACATCTTGGCTCAAGTCAACTGTTCTCTCGCCTAGCTTAGCGTAGGCTCACCCCTTAGCCCCTAGCCAGGCGCAAAGGGTCTAGCACTTCGTGAGAATATATAAACATATCAAGCTGACTGCGCTCGCTGCTGTATCTTTTCGGCACTTTCGGCATCGGTGTTACACGGCAGTACAGGGGCACATTGCTGCTTCTCCTCGGTTCTCAGGTTAACTTGAAGTGAGACGGTCTCTCCTCACTAAGAGCCTCTATTCAAGTTGCTGAAGCATCAACTCCAAACGATGATTAAGGCTGCGGGAGATCAAGCCGCGGAGATTGCGCTGGAGGTTCAACAACTCATCATCAAGTTGATCAAATGCCAGGTGAGGCGATGAAGGAACGGCAGATCATTCTCTTTGCGTTGGAAAGTTTAGGACGCACGTCTGACTTGATCTTGGAAATGTTCATCGATGGCTCGACGTCTTATGAAGAGCCGCAAGACACCCTGCGTCGAAAACTCAAAGATTGGGGTCCACCCTTCCTGCCCCAACGAGAGCGCTCCTGTACTGCCCGAAAAGAGGGGAAGATCCAGAGAGAACGGCAAGAAGGGGAGAGACAAGTCACCGTGCGAGTGGACGAAGAAGTGCAAACAAGGGTCAGCGCGGAACAACTCACCGGCGGGATCGCCTCAAAGGAGACCGTGTCTGCTCATTCTAAAAAAGAGGGGCTTGCTAGAAAGGGAAAGATTGCAAGTTCACGCGCCAAAAAGAACTCGGCTCCAGCGGAGAAGGATTCGGACGCTGGCAGTGCCAGCGGGGCAGGATCTGGTTCAGACGCCGGGGAGAAGAAGAAGAAAAAAGAAGAAGGGGAAAGAGATGCCAGTGATTGCTACAGGGTCGCTCTGAGATGATTTTGAGAGCGCGGCCGAACCAACTTTGAGTTCTGACGATATCGTAGACAGTGATGCTGAGACGGAGTGCGCCCCCGCAACGCCACGGGGTAGGGTCTATTTCAATAAGGCAGCGACTCGTACTCGGAGGGTGAGTTTCCATGATTGGGTTGAACACGATGATGGCGACACTAGCAATCAGGAATTCCCGGATAAGACCCATAGGGAGGAACGCGGAAAGAAGGGAGCAACGAGCCAGAGAGGACCAATACCAAAAGAGCATCATCGCTGCAATACGGCTGGATGTTCAAGATTCACGAACATCAATGGAGATCAACCTCGTAGGTGAGAATCGTGAGAAGACTGATCTTGTTGACAGCTCGAGAGAAAGGCAGCGTTGGAGCATAGAAGAATGAAGCGGCTCATGGACACAGGATGCGCGCATGATCTGGTAGGGCAAAGAGTGGTAGAGAAGCTTGACACCAAGAATGAGCTCAGAAGCCATGACTTTTGCGACGGCGAGCTGAAACACACCGTTTGTTATGAAAAAGTCCCTCTCGATTGGAAAGGGATGCGCCGACAACGGACTTTGGATGCCGGGCGAACAGCCCATTGATCAAAGAAGGCGCATTCATTCGCCTTCGCGTCCAAGATCACATTACCTTTGTACCTGGTGACTAACGAGAAGATTGGGTCAGGGTCTGACCAGGGACACCACGTTCAGTGTGTTCCGCGTGAAAAAGAATCTCCCGACGACCGTACTGTGGCGTCGGAGAACATGGAGGACGCCAGCAGAACAACCCGATGACGGAGAAGAGGGCGATGCGGACGAACGCGACGAAGGGGGTGGCAGTGACGAAGACGAAGTTGAAGTCGAGGCGGAAGCTGGTCCAGGAGTCAAAAGAAAGAAGGGGACGTTGCAACACGAAGCAGATACGCTCGAGCACATGGTGATCCCAATCGTGATGCAGACTTGCCAACCCGCAATGTGATGCGTGCGTCAGAGCAAAGATGCCTCAAGTCTAAGAGAAGCTCAAGAAACGGGGTGACTTTGTGACAATCAACTTCGTAACGAGGGCCGGGTCCGATTCGAAAGTAAGTGCTGTCAGGACATCTTCACGGGGACTGGAATGGCTTATCCCAACTACGGGTATCTTGGCGGAAGAGGTGGTGAAATGTTTGAAGGAGTTCATGGCAAGAAGGAAAATCTGCAGCTGTGAGGCTCCACAGTTTGCGAGCGCATGCCGTCAACTGGGGATTGTGATTGATCGGAAGAGCCAGGAACAACCCTCTAGCCGAGCAAAACAACTTTTACGTTATCGACCAAGTCAACACTTGCTTTCTGGCGGCGGGGTTCCCTCCCTGCTGTTGGTCCTGCGCTGACACGTCAACGTGTCATTCGCTCAATACCAAAGTGCTCGATGATAAAAACGCATGGCGTCTCGCATGGAAATCATTTCGGCGGGAAACGCGTAGTGCTGGGCATTTCTGCGTGCGCCTCAACAGGGAATTTGCCGTCAACACAACAGGCGCATCTGTAGGGCCCGTCGTGTTCCATCACCTGCGCGCTCCTTGCATTCCGAGAAATAGCCAGGAACCAAAGTGTGCCTGGTCCTAGGGAGGGTTTAAGGTGCTTTGCTTGCTTGCTTTCCTTGCTTGCCTGCTTTGCTTCGCTTTGCTTGCTTTGCTTTGCTTGCCTTGCCCTGCCTTGCCCTGCCTTGCCCTGCCTTGCCTTGCCTTGCCTGCTTGCTTTGTTGGCTTGCTTGGTTGGCTTGCTTGCTGGCTTGCTGGCTTGCCTTGCTTGCTTGCCTTGCTTGCCTTGCTTGCCTTGCTTGCCTTGCTGGCTGAGCGACTTGCTGGCTTGCGGGGTGTTGTTGGCAAATACTATGTCTCTCCTACTGCTGGGAGGCACAAAGGAAGGTGACATTGTGAACAAGAGGTTTGCTGGCGTGCCCCAGCTCGTAGTAACACTCATTAGTCCTGGGTCTCGCCTCCCGCACAAAGCCACGGCCTTTGGCCGCCCGTTTTCCGTTCTGTTCGCCCTAACAAGAAATGGCTCTTGGCAATCAAGCTGGAAACCGGCAGTGCCTTACTGAGGAATTTCCATTGCCGGATCAGAACGGCCGTCTCCCACAAGCAGCGTGGCTCATTGTTAGCAGAGGCGCCAATGAGCCTGCTCCTGGTCGCAAACCTCGATTTGGAAATGGTTCCAATGCCACTTTTTGAACAAGCGACAGTCGTGTTTGTTGTTTCTATGTCAGCTTGCACAAGCTCTGTAGTGACTCGCTTCCCAATGTTTTGCAGTCCGGGGAAACTGGCGGGGTGAACGCCGATTGCGTCCACATTGGCTTCCGGAGTGATCATGGAGCAGATTGATGAGGGCCCTTGTGAGTTCAAACTTGTCCGAACGTAACCTGCAGGCTGCGTTTGCAGGTAGGGGTCTTCCTTCAAGAGCCATCAGAGAGCTTTGCTGAGCAGGGGCTGTGCCAAATGGCGGTCCAACCCCTTGCAGAGGCCATCTGAAAGGCCAACCATCATGAATGCATGACGGACTATGACACATGGTGTGACAATAGGGTTGGTGCTCACACCCGTCTTGAAGTTTGGTCTCAGTCTAGAGCTATTTTGTTGCTTGGAGCATGGAAAATCAACATCTTTCCCGCTCTTTGCTAGGATCTGCCCCTTAATCTTCAAGCAGAAAGGAGTTCAGCAGTCAGAGAACTTTTAACTGACCCATGTTGGGCCACCCAACAAAACCACCTGGAGTGCTAAAAGAGTGTGACACAGGGCAAGAGCAAGGGCAGTCCATAGCCCGAGCACCCATCCCTTTGTGTCCAAGGAGGCCGAAGCAGCGAAGCATGTCAAAGGCACCAACGCTTCTGACACCTGCAAGGTTCCGGGGCACCCAGCTCGCCAACCTCCCCTGCACCAGATGAGGAGGACGCCCTGCAAGGGTTCGAGACTCGGAGACTAGTTGATCACTCTTCAAAAGCTGTTGAATCCTGGCCTGTGGTACTGAAAAATAGGGGGAATGAACACCCCTGCGCCAACTGAGTTGGAGGGTCCACTTCCTGGCAAACAAAACGAACAATGGAAGAGAGCGACACAGCGAGAGAGAGAGAGAGAGAGAGAGAGAGAGAGGGAAACCAGCCATCTACGCGGGATGTTCCATGTCGGGACGGACCCATGTTGAGTGTGTTGAGGTTTGGCCACAGGCTGTGCAAGCAGCTCGGAATATTGGAGCAGCGGCGTTCTTATGTTTTAAGCTGCTACAAGCATTGACACTTGCAGAGAAGCAGCGGGAAGCAGCGGCGTTTTTATGCCTCGCAGCAGCTGGTGCCCGACCCAAGCAGCCGGAGCCGCGGCGTTCTTACGCGTTAAGCAACCAAACGCAGCCACCTTCTTATGCGTATTGGGGCCAGACGGCCGGAAGCAGCGGCGTTCTTCTGCCTCGCGGCTGCTGCGGCCCGCCCCACGCAGCCGGAGCAGCGACGTTCTTATGCCTTGAGCTGCTATTGGCAACAGCGTTCTTGTGCGTCTTGCTAACACGCGATCAAAGAGCCTGACTGGTCGTTCGTTCAAAAGAACCAGTCTTCCAGATTTTCCAGTCAGATCCCATGCCAATGTTCACTTATTTCTCTGAAGACCTGTGCGGGTGGGAGGGTAACAATGTAAACCCACCCGTTGGCCTTTCAGACTCGGATGGCTGTGGCGGGATGGAAGTTCTCAAATAGTTTGGCGCGACAAGCAAATAAGCCCAGACCTCCAACATGTCCTAACACTGCCGCTTCCCGGTGTACTGCTGTGAATTCGTTCTCTTTCCGCCTGAGTACCAACCTGGAGCTCCAACTTTCTTGGGGGACTTTCAATACACAATCAATGTTGCTTTTGTTACAAGAGCTTGCAAATTTATCTGACAGCGCAGCTTGGAGAATTAGTTGTGGCAACGTCTTCATGATGTTTTCAAGAGCGGTTGCTCATTTTAGCTCGTTGCCTTTTTTTCGGCCATCTGGATTGGCGAGTCAACTTGGGTAGTTCCGAGTCTTTGTTACATGCTGAATGGCTCACAACCACCTGATCTAGCAGAACTATGCGTCTTGTTAAACCACCGACTTTGAGGGTTACTACATATCCACCAAGGACGGATTTATGCGCTGACTTGGGATCTCGCTTTGAAGCAAGCATCTTTCAACCAAACTTGTGTTGAACTTTCGGAAGACGTGCCCAGATCTCGTAATACTCCAAGACTGTTTTGAGGGGTAAGGCTTCATTTGGTGCCTGGACTCCTAGGCCTTCCTTCGGGGTCCAAAGTGTTCAGAGACAGGTTTGCTTGGAGTGTTCTCCTGCAACATAGCATTGGCCAAGGCCAGCCAGGGAACAGCCATGCTTCAATGGATTACAGGCTCTCCGGATTTCTGCGTGTATATCTATATATATATATATCTCTTTCAACTACATCTATACTTATATAGACATATACACACGATTCATTCTGCACGCATGTTGCGTCACAGCTGAGAAACAATCGAAGTTGTTACTTTGCCCACGACCTTTTCACCCTCGCGGTTGATGACACTTACCACCGCGACGCGCGTCCTGACGCTTTGCTGCTTCGCAGTGCCTGCGCCACCTGGCTTCCCAATCCTTCTAGCGCAACCCTCCAATCCAGGCGGTGTGCCACTGGAGGAGTTTCGCAAAGTACCGGCATTGAAGACCCATTTCGCCAAGCTGAAGCTCCGGTACCGGATTTGCGCATATGTGGACGAGACCCGATCATCTACAGCAACGACGACCAGGACGGTGAAAGAAGTGGCACATGGCGGATTCTCACGGCGGGCGAAAGCCCAGCGGCAAGTCCTTGGGGGCAAGCGCTTTAAGGCAAAGGAAAGGCAAGACGGGCAAGGGCTTCGGCAAGCCCTTTGGCAAGAGGCCCTGGAGCAGTGGGAGAAACACGAAGCACGGACCGACTGTCGCCGAGACGGCCGGACGTGCGGGACGCGTGCCCGGGATTTGCGGGACGCGGGGACGCCGGGGACAGCGCTGCAGACGCGGGGGGGCAGTCACCTTTAGCGGCAGCAGCCGCCAACGTCATCTGCAACCTTGTCCTCAAGGGCTTCTTCCGCCTTTCGCTTCTTCTCTGGCTTTCCGAGCTAACCTGGCAGAGGTCCACGAGCATGTTGCGAACCTCGATGCGGGGCGCCTCTGGTTCTGGATCGGCGCTGAAGCTGATTGGTGCTCTTGCCGGGCAACTTGCCAATGGGGTACTTCTGACGGGCCGCCTCGACCACCTGTTCCCAATTGTCCAATCTGAAGGTGGTGGCGCAGAAGGTGCAAGACGGTGTGCTTCCCCACGCAGTCCCCGGAAATGCCAGCCAAAGCCAAGGAGTGCCTACAAGAAAGGCGCTCGACAAGTAAATGAAGACCATCTATGGCCCGCAAGGGGCCACTGTGCAGCCTCGTTCCTGTTCGACAAGGAAATCATGCGGCGCACGGCGCGGAAAGCCGACGGCGAGCTTCACCAACTTGAGCCTCCGCAAAGTTGAGGTCCACTTGCTCTGTGCGAGTTGCGGGCTTCCAACAAGACCGGGGCATGTCAAACCTTTTGAGACGGCTTCCCGGGCTGGCTTCGCATGTCTTCACGCCCGGATCAAGATAAGCCTCTTCTCCCTCAATCCAAGCCTTTGCGCAAGCCAAGTTAGAAGAAAGCAAGCCTTCCTGTGCAAGAAATTGCCACTTGCCCGCTTGCCAAAACGAGAGCCATTTGCAAGCCCAAGCTGACAAAAACAAGGTGGGAACGCCAGACCGTACCCCGCCCATTTAGCCGTTTTTTGGCATTTGACATTTGACATGTTTAGCATTTTTTGCATTTCACAGCGTTCGTTTGTTCGCAGGGTTCCGACAGGCAGGCGTTGTCACCCATTTCATCCCTCCTCGCGCACCTGTGTCGACACCCTCGCCAGATGCGCCTCGCAGAGTCAGCGCCCAGGAGGTTATGCTCCCTGGCCAGGGGTGTCCGGCCAACGTTGTCTATGTTGGTCCGGGCCACTTCAGTCATCGGTGGCCTCAAGGTGGGCACTGATGGCGTGGTCCGCTATGTGCAGCGGGTCCTCGTGGCTTTGGTGCGTTCAATCCCGGACACCTCTTCAAGCCCCGGTCCATCGCGGTCCCGGCCTCCTTCCAGTTTGCTTGCAGTCACTTTGTTAGCTGGCTGTTGCATGCCAGTCCGTCCCGTGGACATCTCCCAGACGGAGTTTGTTTTGGCTGCGATGGCTTTGTGTGTTTGGGGTTGTCTGGGACGGTTTCTGTTGGCCCCTGGTGGAGCACGTCTTGCTGGATGAGACTTTTCATGCGTTCAGACGCTGGTACCGGGCTCGACCCAATTATGACGGCAGGGAGCGGCCGTGGCCATGTCGGCCGGTGAGCAGCTGGGAGCTGCCACCTCAGCAAAAGCCGCGCCTCCCCTCATTTTGCTTGGGTTGGGGGATGATGGTCACTTTCAGGCCTGCTTGCCGGCTCAACATGACATGCACCCTTTTGAGCGAGAGGGCGTTGTGGACTACAACGTTGTGTTGGCGGCCGAGCTCACCAATTCCTTGGGCTCCGAGGCTCGGTCAATGCGGCAGCGAGCAGGTCGACTGGTTGCTGAGTTGGGCAATCGGTCACAGCGCACTTGCAGCGTTTTCAGCCCGTTGAGGTCCAGCGCGTGACAGTGAAACATCTGGCTCCCTCATGTTGTTGGTGGACTGCCGGGTCCCACTTTCATTGGTGGTTTCCTGTTTTCGAGACACAACCCCAGCTCTGTAGCGGCTCGCATGTTCTCGGCACCTGGCAGGTTGGTTGACACAGTGTCTGGGATGAGGCCCAAACCGAGGACAGGACGCGGGCCGCTGCAGAGCTGGCCCAAATCCATTAGCCGCACCATGCCTCTTGGAGGGGCGTCGGCTCATCGTTGCATCCCATCTCGCTTTGTGGCGGGTGGCATCTCCCTGGGCAAGGTCATCGACGATGTTATGAAGGAGCGTCAGGCAGTCTGGGTGAGCAGTGGGGCCAGCTCTGCGGACGTTCACGGAGCCCCCCTCCCACTTCCCGTGTCGTCGCCCGGCGGGGGCAACGCGTATGCCCCGCAGGCACCCGTCCGGGGCCAGGATCGCGGCGGCGGAAAGGCAGCCAACAAGCTGCGGGGCGGCACCAAGCTCTGCCGGGACTTCAACACGGGCACGTGCTCCAAGGCTTCTGGTTGTTCCCAGGCCCAGCATAGGTGCGGCCGCATGTCTGGTTGTGCAGCGCGAGTCTTCGCATTTTCCGACCTCTGCGGGCTGAGTACACCCCATCCCTGGTCTTCACTATTGCGGTCGCAACATCCTGGTGGGCATTGCGGATGGGTTTCTAGGCGATTCGGATTCCACGCCTGCCCCTTATCCAGGTGGCGGGTGATGCGCAGGCTGATCACCTTTCCTGGCGAGTCGCTTCGTGGGGTTGCTAAGCACACCCACTCAGCACTGTATCCACACCCTGCCAAGTCATAAGCGCGCTCGCTCAAGTGACCCCGCTCAGCACTGTATCCACGCCTGCCCAATGATACGAGCACCGGCTCAAGTGACCCCGCTCAACATTGTATCCACGCCTGCCACATGATAGCACACCCGCGCAAGTGACCCCGCTGAGCGCTGTATCCACGCCCTGCCGCTTGATAAGCGCACCCGCAGCGACCCCGCTCAGCACTGTTTGCGCACACTGCCAAATGATAAGCGCACCCGCTCAAGCGACCCCGCTCAGCACGGTGCCCACTACACCTGCTCAAGCGACCCCACTCAGCGCTGTATCCACGCCCTGCCACATGATAAGCGCACCCGCTCAATCTCAAGTGGCCCTGCTCAGCACTGTGTCAAGTGACCCCGCTCAGCGCTGTCTCCACGCCCTGCCACACGATAAGCACACCCGCTCAAGTGACAGCGCTCAGCGCTGTGTCCATCATCATCATGTTGAAGTGCACCAACCTGTCACTGGGTTAAGATGCGCACGCACCTTTCGGCAAATTGCAGCGCTGTGTCCACGCCCTGCCAAGTGACCCTCTGAAGTGGCCCGCTCAGCGGTGCATCCACGCCCTGCCACATGATAAGCACACCCGCTTAAGTGACCGCGCTCAGCTCTGGTGACCCCGCTCAGCACTTGTATCCAGCCCAATGACGCGTGACTGCGCTAAGCGCTGTATCCACGCATATAAGCACACCCGCTCTGGTGACCCCGCTCAGCACTGTGTCGACGCCCTGCCAGACGATAAGCGAACCCGCTCAAGCGACCCCGCTCAGCGCTGTACACACCCGCTCAAGTGGCCCTGCTCAGCACTGTGTAGCGCTGATAAGCGCACCGGTTCAGGTGACTGCGCTCAGCGCTGTATCCACGCCCTGCCAAATGAAGTGACCCCGCGCAGCGCTGCATCCATGCCCTGTCAAGTGAGAAGCACACTCAAGTGACCCCGCTCAGCACTGTATCCACGCCTCCAAATTCGGCCACTGCTCCGCGATGGATTGCGTATTTGCGGGCGTGTTTCGCCTTGGCGAAACGCATGTCAGGTCCAAAACGACAACACCATCGTGGAGGATGTGAGGCGTCCGGGATATTTTTGTTGGCAGGCGACGTGCGTTTTGCTTAGGCGAAATCACGTTTTGAGGTTTTGCTGAAAACGCAGGGTGCGACACGGGCGTTGTCAGCGAAAACAAGCGGCGCATGTTCAGCGGGTCTCACCACACCGGCTCCCTACTCAAGCATTTGCGACTTGCCAAAACCGGCGCCATGGGCAAACCCCAGCAGATGAAACATGCCCGAGAGGGCTCACAATTCCGCCTCCCTGCGCAAGCATTCGCAACTTGCCAAAACCAGCGCCATTTGCAAACTTCAACTGGCGAAAGCAAGTGGCAAATGCGTGCAAGGTGAATGCTTGCGCAACTTGCCAAAACCAGCGCCATTTCTGGCGACAAGTGGCAAATGCCTGAGTGGGTCTCACCATTCCGCCTCGAAGCCGAGCCCTTTTTGCAAGCCCTGCCTCTCACCATTCCGCCTTCTTGCGCAAGCATTTGGCACTCACCAAACCCAGCCCTTTGTGCAAACCCTTGGTCAAGGGAGCAAGCGCGCAAGCGTTACACTCGCACTTGCAAAAGGCAAGAGACAACCCTTTTGCTATGCCTCTGCTTCTTTAACTCCAAGATGCCCTGCGTGCGACTTGAGCCAAACGCATGGCGTGGCGAATTGCCCTCGGTGACGACTGCGCGCCCACAAACACGTCAACTGCCCACCACGCTGGCAAGGGGCCCCCCAAGTGCCACGGCGCAATGGACATCCTAGGCCAACAACGCATCACATCCAACACGCAAGAGTACACGTGTGGGCAACACGCAGCAGCCCCGTCTTTACAGCGGCAATGGCCTTGACGTCGGGCAACGTTTATTACCCTAGGAACGTAGCCAGACCTTCCGCAATCAACTCGCGGGTCACGCTTGCGGATGGCCAAGCATGGTGCCCCGCCTGGAACGGCAAAGACATAACGAGGCATGTCCTTGCATGTTGTGCCGGCGTTCCAAGCCTCGCAAGGCTTCGGTCGAAAGCCAGTGCTCACACAAGTCATGCGTTTTAGTGCAGGCGCTGGCCTGTGAGGCATGACACGTGGCACAGTGAAGAACAAGAGCCACCGCAAGCTGGCATCCGCAGGAGGAAGATTGGCTTCCGCAGGCCAGGTAGCTTTCGTGCTGCGCGACGGCGCCCTGGTGTGCAAGACTTTGGTTTTTTAACGGTGGAAGAGCGCCTGCGCGCAGATGCATTCTTCGAGGCCCTGAGCGCAACGCACCGCTCACGACAAGAACGTCGCGGGCACGAAAGGCAAAACCCCTGCTCCTTGTGCCAAGAGCTCCGGCGCTACTGGCTTCGGTCGGCGGAGTCCACCCAAGCTTCCTCGCCTTTGGCCTCTTGGACAACGGAGTCAAGGGTCGCCCACGTCGACACGTGCTGCGGGCGCCTATGGAGCAGTCAGTTTTCATCTGGTGGGCAGCGCTCACCCCAGCCCTGGACGCGCACCAGGGCAGTGGCCTGGCCTTTTTTGATTGATAACAACAGCGGCTATGCGTCACAGTCAGCCCAAACGGCCGTTCGCCAGAGGACCCATAGCGTCCCAACGTGGGCAGGGGACAGCGCCGGAACCAAAGAACCCTGAAGAAAAAAAACGCCAGGCAGCCGTGAGGTTCTCGCAACGCAGGGTGGGTTGTCGCCTTCTCCTTCAGCTTTGGAACCAGCTGAAGAGGAGCGCGCAGTCGCTTGTGTTTGCTCCACCCAGCCTGGCCTTGTTCGCAGAGCGGTTTGACGACATCAGTGGTCAACGCGTGGAGCGCCTTGTCAATGATGAAGCGCAGCTGCGGATGCTTCAGGCGTGGCTGGGCAGGAACAACTGGAAAGGTCAATGATTCGGGCCACAGCAGCAGCTGCTCTTTGTGTAGGGACTCCCCGCCAAAGAGCTCCACAGCATCACGAGCCCTTGCTTGGAGCTTGTCGCAAGCCAACAGCCGCTTTGCCGTTGACCCGCTTTTGACAGTTCTGCGTGTGACAAAGTCCGCAGCCTAAGCAGAGCGCCAACATCACCGGCACGCTTACGCAAAGACTCCATCGGCTGTTGCAATGATGGAAGGCGTTGCTCGCAGCAGATCTTGCGGAGTTGCGCCCACGCAGGCAGCCCGCTTGTGGTGGACACCGAGTTCTAAAACCTTCAGCCAATGGCATCAACCGGGCTGCAGCCGCCAACTTCTTTGGGAACCAATGCACCAGTATCACAGGACTAAAGCACGGAGGTCAGTTTAACGCCTGGTCTGGAGTTCAATGCCACCAACATGGTTGCGCGCAAGATGCCCCTCGTTATTGCACTTCATCTAGCGCTCCTCAGATCCATTTGCGACAAACAGATGATGGTGAAAGTGGTCTGCGCTTCGCGGCATGCGGAGCGATACCCCGTGCCCATGCCCTTGCTGGGCACGGACTCAGCTCCACGTAGCGTCATCATCTGTGGCGAAGTGAAAAGATGGATCATCACAAACATGATCAGGAGAACCATCACCACCATGACACGCCCGGTCGAAGTGTCCTAGAAGAAGGCAGGTGGACTGGTGCTACTGAGTTCAGGCCATCCCCAGCTGGACTCGGAAAGACAGATCGCCGAGAGCCAGATCTAGCCATCAAAAGCGCCCAAGAAACAGCTTGGCATGAGCCGCATCTCGCCACCCATGAAACCGAACTACGACTTCAAACGGGTTCGACTACCCAGGCTTGCGCGAGACGGTTTGTTCTTGGGACGCGGACCGGTGCGCCTTCCACGGTCACCAAGCGCCGCCCGACCACCTTCAACAAGGAATCAATGGGTTTTTGCTGATCATTGATTCAGCCACCTGCTACAAGACAATGGCCAAGGTTTCTCGGTAGACCTGGTGAACTTGCAGCCGGGATGTTTAGGCGAGCGGACTTTTACCGGCCGACAAAACGTGCGTTTTTGCACACGCCGACCCGCCCACGCTCTGCGTCGAACGCGTGCGTACATGCCTGGTGCACGGTAAGCACACCCGCCCACGCTCTCCGCTGTAAGCCTGAGTGCATGCCGCGCACATTGCAAGCGCGCCCGCCCACGCTCTGCGTCGCACGCCTATGTGCATGCCTGGCGCGCGCTAAGTGCACCCGCCCACTCTGTCCGTCGTACGCCTGAGCACATGCCGCACATGGTATGCACACCCGCCCACACTGTCCGTCGTACGCCTGCGTACATGCCTGGCGCATGGCAAGCGCACCCCCACGCGCTCTCCGTCGTACGCCTGAGCACATCTGGAGTGAGAGTCTTGCACGCGTGTCACACAACTGCTGCGCAGCCGGCCTGAGTCACAGCTGAGAAGCAGTCAAAGTTGTAGAGCAGGTATGTTTATGCACATGTTCAAAGCAGTGTTGTTACCAGCCTGGGCCATGCGCATCATTCCCGGCAGGATCGCGGCAAGAGGAACGGAACCATCAGTGATCTCGTTCATTGGTGGCAGTTGTCCAAGGTTCCCTGCGGAGCCGTCAACTGAATGTCGGGGGCTAAAAGGCGCAACCGTCTTTCAAACTTCATAGCTTCCACTTATAGCCGGGGTTGCCAGCTCACCAGCTCATGCGCTGCAGGAAGTGGAGTGGATGCAGCTGGTGCCGGAAGCCCAGATCCGATGCGCAGGGAGACCAGATTATATTGACGGACTTCAAGTTAGAACATCATGTGGTGAATCCATGTTCTAACTGAACCCGGGTTAGAACATAATTTGGGCATGCGACATGTCTCTGGGTATGTTTTGTTTTAGAACATCCAAGTTAGAACAACAATGGCCAAGTATATGCACTGCGACTTTGTCTGGGAAGCTGGTGAACCATTGTTGCATGCTGCGTTTGAAGGGGGTTGCTTCCTCACCAAGGCTAAACAACTATGTGTTTCTGTTGCAGCGATTTGCGTTTCACGGCGTCTCGCAACATGACGGCTTTGTTTGCAACTTATGTAGAACACACATGCCTTTTGAAGAATTGTGTTTAGCTTGAGGCGTGGTCATTTTAGTCGCAGCTGCGCTGTTAATCGTAAGAGGTCAGCTTCCTATTCCTCTCTCGTGCGTCGCCGCTCAATCTTCTCTCACCGCGGGGGGGGGGGGAATCTGGGAAGCGCCGGGCCTGGAAATCGGCAGCTTTCAGGCTGGGGGTTGTTTAAGGCAAGCGTCATTGGCGCACTGCTCTTGTTGAAATAGGTTTGAAACTTTCGGGTTTGTTCAGGGTTGAGGCTAGGGGGATTGCTCAGGGTTCAACCCGGGCAACCGCGCATCTGCCGATGTTCTAACCTGTTGGTCCAGCTGTGTTGTCTAGACCTAGAGATCAGCTTCCTATTCGTTGTTCAAGTGCCCCCCCCGCCGGTGAGTAAAATGAGTGCTGCCGCGCTAGGGCTAGACAACACAGCTGCAACTAAGCTAAACAAGCATGTGTTTTCTTCCTGCTTCCATTAACGTGGCCCACAGTTAGAACATCGGCAGATGCACGGTTGCCCGGGTTGAACCCGAAAACAATCCCCCTCCAGCTGTTGCAACCCTCTAGCCTCAACCCTGAACAAACCCAAAGAATTCACGCCTACAAAAACAAGAGCAGTCCGCCCATGGTTTAAGCCTTACCAACCTGAAAGTTGCCGAGTTCCAGGCCCGTCGCTTGCCAGGTTCCCCCGCCCCCCGGTGAGACTAAAATGAGTGCTGCCGGGAAGCTGGGAAGTGGCCTGGACATCGGCAGCACGCTTGTCCGCTTGAACCCCAAACAGTCCCCCTCCATGTGTTTTAACCTTCAACTCTCAACGCTGAACAAACCCGAGGTCAGTTTCCTATTCCTTTCTAGTGCGGCAGCAGTTTTTATTCTCACTAAGGGAATTGGGAAGCGTCCGGATTAGTGTTCGGCAGCTTTCAATAGTTGAGGGCTGAAACACATGGAGGGGGGTTTGTTTAGGGTTCAAACCGGACAACCGTGCATCTGCCGACGTTCTATATGTGGGCCCCCTTTAACGCTTGACAGCGCGGCTGCAACTAAAATCCCCCCGCCTTGGGTTGAACACCATTCTTGAAAAAGCATGTTTTCTCGCGTTTCAGAGAACAGGGCCCCAGTTCGCAGACGCACGGTTGTCTGGTTTGAGCCCAAACACCCCCCCTCCCCCACATGTTTCAACCCCTAAACCTTGAACCCTCAACCCTAAGCAGTCCCTAATATTTCAATGCGATATAAACAAGAGCAGTCCGAAAGTGGCCGATCTTTCCAGGTTCGCCTCCCCATGAATGCTGCCGCTCTAGAAAGGAATAGGAGGCTGACCTATAAATAACACAGATGCAACTGAAATCCCCGCGCCGTCAGGTAAAAGTCATTCTTCAATAAACATGTTCTTCCGTGTTTTAGAAGCTTTGGAGGGAGGAAGGCTTCTCGTTCTGGACAAGGCTGTAGCTTCCAGCTATTGAATGAATATGGTTAAATTTTGCCGCCCGCCATGGGGCCAGCGCGATGTTCTAAGTCGAAATACAGTGAGATTTTTGCAATTTTTGACCAGGATGTTCTACGTGCTACTCGTCATTTTTGTTTAACTATTGACAGGTTTGACGTTCTAAGGCGCGTTTGGTGAATTGTCGATGTTCTAACTCGAAGTCCGTCACTATAAAGTTTCTCAAAACGTTGCTTGCCGAGAGAAAACGGAGCCATTTTTCAACTTGACAGAGCTTTTTCAAAATTGTTTTCCTCTTGGCTTCCCCACAAGGGGTTCATTTTGAGAAGAGTGTTGGGCGCTGCGGGGGCCGTTTTCACTAAAAGAGTTCTACTTACTACAAATTGCGTTGGTGACTTGCAGTATGGAGGGTGCAAGTTGGATAACTCCTACCTCCAGCCATTGTAGCAGCCATTGCATGCAACAAGTTTGCATCGGAGCTGGAAGCCCACGCTGTCTGCCGTGCTTGATCTACTGGCCAAAGGACTGGGAATCTGTGGCTAATTCAGCGAGCCGGAAGGAAAACAGGGCTAGCAACAAATTGCCAATCGAAAAGTTCAATCCGCGAGCTCAGATAGCAGCTTGGCTGCCTACGGCAAAGTGCATTTTATTTACAACAACTTGCACGGGTCTTCATCCCACCAGCCCCTTGTGAGCTACAGGCGTGCGATGTGGAAACCAAAGATGCTGCTGCCAGCAAACATGGATCCTCATGCTGCATTTCATAGCTGTTTCTTGCTGCTACTTGCTGCATTGTGCCAAAACAAAAACAACCCGCTCACCAAGATATCTAGCGCATGGAAGGTGCAAGTGGGAGAAAGGTTTTTCTGACCTCCTATATCAACTTTTGCGCGCCACTAGAGGGCTTTCACTCCCTACTCTCACTAGAGGGCTTTCACTCCAAGAAAACTGGTAGCGCCCAACGCGGGTTTGTTGTAGAAAGAATGTCATGATGTAGGCATGTGCCCTGATCTCTGTTGGACATATGAAGTACTAGCCTATGGTTTCATCTTCGTAGGTGGTATGGGAGGGGGGTAGGAGAACGACTTATTTATTGCGCCCTCCACAACTCATCAAAACTAAAGGGCTGGATAACGCACTTAAAGTTTTGCAGCAAATTTGACGCAGGCTCATGGAAGAAAGAACAGAAGCAGCGCGGAGAGAAATAAAGAAAGCAATAAGGAAAAACTTTCTTGTCGCGCGCTTGTGTCAAGCGACTCCCAGCCATCTCATGTCAAGATCAGCTGGATGCGCAA